GACTTTCGGACACACTAAACTTAAGGAAAAAGTATTAATTATACCGTGAAACCACGGTATATCACTTACACCAAAATAAAAAAAAGGACATTGTGTAAAAGTTCAAAACCACGCATGTAAAGTAAGCTACTGTTTTCAAGAGTTTACGACAAACAAAACACTTATTGCTAACATGAAGAATCACGATTGATATGCTTCTCATTTTTAAAGCGAAAAGTTGATATATCGTGCTGAATCAGTAATAAACCTTTTGGCAGCGTCAAGAGTTTCAGACAAGCTTGTCATACAACAAGAGGAAACTCGAAACAGAGTGAGAATTACACAAAGAAAACCAAACAAGGCACATGAATTCTAAGGGACATGAAAGATAGAAGAACATATCATAATGAGTAAAAGAAAAGACGATAACTAAGTTCGCATTAAGGTCGATTCAAATTTTATAGACAGTGACCCGCTAAAATATTCATGTTAATGTGTCCTAATACCTCATAACAGTAGACACAAGGGAAGAACATTCTCAGCTAAAACGTAAATACAATTAAATTCTAGGCATAATACATATATTGGATCCTAAACTTGGCTTCAAATTTTAACTTTGACCAACAAATTTCATAATGCACAAACAAACACTTTAACTATCCAAATTTTAAAATAAATAAGCACATGAGTCCTACATGACACAATACACGTAGGACACCACGTAGGACAAAATATAATATGTAGGACATGTCTGTCTATTTGTTCAACTTTATACAAGTTTAAGCGTGTACTTGTGCACACCCAAAATTGAAGGGCATAAATGTGATTCGAAGCCAAGTTAAAGGAAATATTAATGTATTATGCCTAAATTCTACCATATGAAAACCCAATAGTACTAAAAGTAACTAGCTAGCCAAGAGTTGATGAGGAAGCTGAAAACAAAGTACAAGGATGAGAAGATGTCAAGCACAAATCATTTTGAATTTAAAGAAATAGAGGAAAAAAGTATATATCCCTTAAAAGCTAATACAACCACAGTAGCCAAAGTAACAAGGCATTAAATCAAATTAGTTGCTGAACAGTGAACTAAGATTACAATCCTGAATATGACTTAATAACAAAATAAGGAAGTATACCTCTTTTGGAGCAGCGAGACTAGGAGGAGGAGCTTAACGATGAAGCATCTACCACCACAAGTTAGATTCCAATGAAACTCCGGTGATGCTCCGATGAGACGAGAAGAAATTCCTAAAACTCTAGACCTGAGTGTTTTTTTTATAAATATTATATTGATAGTACATTCATTATCTGAAACTTCCAAAAGTTCCTCCTAATACTTGCTCCCTCTCCACTCTGAAGACATCATCTTAAACATGGAGGAGGAGATGGGGACATTTATAGGGGAAGCTTGGGTGATTTTGGGGGAAACCGTTGGATTTGAAATTAGAAAATCACCCTCCTCTTAGGATATAAGTTTGCCAGCCAATAATTGTACCAACTCTCAACATCTTGGAGTAATCTAAGAATGAGCTAAAGAAGAAAGAAGAAGAGAAAGATCTTATTGATCTGATCTGAAAAATTGTAACCTCCTGTTTACAATGAACTATTCTATATATACAATCTACACAGTACTAGTATGTACTAACTAACTAAGAACCTTATGGGCCCTAGCTAACTAGCCTTTCTACTAATCAACTTAATTAATTAACTAATTATAATAGGAACTATTTAACCAATTCCTACACTCCCCCTCAAGATGGATCTATTGAACAAGTTCAAGAATCCAAGCTTGGCAACAAGTGCTTCATGTTGTGATCTTCCAAGTTCTTTTGTTAATAAATCTGCTTGTTGTTCCTTAGTATGGATGTAATTGGTCTTGATCAATCTTGCTTGAATCTTCTCACGGATGAAATGACGGTCTATTTCAATGTGTTTAGTACGCTCATGGAATACAGGATTAGCAACAATTTGTATAGTTGCTTTACTATCACAATAAATATTGGCTGGTCCTAACAATTTGACCCCCAATTCCTGTAACAAATTTATAACCCAAACTATCTCTACAGTCAGTGCTGCTAGACTTCTATACTCTGCCTCTATAGAACTTCTGGAAATTGTATTTTGTTTTTTAGACTTCCACGAAATCAAGGAATCACCAAACTTCAAAATAAAACAAGTAACATATCTTCTTGTATTTGGACAAGTTGCCCACTCTGCATCACACAACCCTATAAGTTGAGGCTTCTGATTTGAACTCAACAATAACCCTTTTCCTGGATCACCTTCAATATATCTTACTAGCCTTAAAGCTGCATCCCAATGTGAAACCTTTGGTTGTTGCATAAACTGACTCAAAGATTGTACTGCAAATGCTATGTCTGGCCTTTTGCTAGTAAGGTATAATAACTTGCCAATCAGTCTTTGATATCTGTTTTCATCTTCAAATAAATCATCATGTAAATCAGCACTTTGGTCATATTCCACACTAGTATTATTCATGTTACATTCTAGTGGTGTAGGAGCTGATTTAGCAGCTGCTAATCCTACCTCTGATATCAACTCAAGGGAATATTTTCTTTGATTCATCATTATCCCTTTATTTGATCTATGAAATTCAATGCCTAAGAAATACTTAAGCTCTCCTAATTCTTTGATCTTGAAGTGACTATGTTACACACATTTGGTCTCTTCTATCAATTTAATATCATTCCCTGTAATCAAAAGGTCATCCACATATACTAAAATAATAACCAGCTTAGATCCTCTCCTTTTAGTAAATAGGGAGTAATCCAGATGACTCTGAGTATATCCAAATTCATAAAGTGCAGTTGTGAAGTTTGCATTCCATTGTCTAAAAGCTTGTTTGAGGCCATAAATAGTTTTAATCAGCTTGCAGACAACATTCTTCTTCTATGGTTGAAATCCTTTAGGCAATTCCATATACACTTCTTCAAACAAATCACCTTGTAAGAAGGCATTGTAAACATCCATTTGGTAAATAATCCAATGTTCAGCAACAACTAATGAGATTATATATCTAACTGTAACCATCTTCACCACTGGTGAAAATGTCACTTGATAATCAATTCCCTCAGTCTGATTATACCCTTTAGCTACCAGTCGTGCCTTAAGTATGTCAATATTCCCATTAGCTTGATACTTGATCTTAAAAACCCATTTACATCCAATAACAGGCTCGTGTGTTGCCATGTTCACTAACTTCCAAGTCCCATTATCCTCCAGTGCCTTGATCTCTACTTTCATTGCATCCACCCACCTTTGATCCTTAATTGCCTCTTCATAGCTCCTTGGTTCAACATCCGTGGAAAATTTGGACAAATATGCAACATAAGATGGAGAAATATGCTGGTATGAGACATAATTTCCAATTGTATAAAGCTAGTTCGAATCTGATACTTGCTTCACATAGTCCTTCATCCATATAGGTGGATGTGATACTCTATGTGACTGTCTAATCCATCCTTCTGCATTGATATTGTGATCAACATGATCATTTCCTTCAACTGAATTCCTCTTTCTGCTGCAACATTATGATCAACCTAATCATTCCTTTCAACTATGTTCATGTTCTGTAAGATATTAGGCAATGTCTTCTAATATGGGAACTGATGAGTTGTATCATGGAACTCATCCTCATGAAGTGTCTAATTATCAACTAGAAATAGGGGTAACTGCTTGTTACTGATCTGTTCATAAGGAAATATATCTTCTTTAAAGACAACATCTTGACTAACCAACATCCTTCTCTGACTCGAATTATACAATTTGTATCCTTTCTGAGCAGTTGCATAGCCCAAGAAAATACAAGCATCTGCTCTTGGGGAAAATTTGTTAGCTTTAGACAATCTTGTTACATAGAACAAACAACCTAAATCTTCACATGATCTAGCTTAGATTTCACCTTATGAAAAACTTCATAAGGTGTCTTTCCCTTCAGTATTGTTGTTGGCAACCTGTTTATTAAATACATAGCTGCAAGATTACATTCTCCCCAGAACCTAAGAGGAATGTGTCCATGAAATCTGAGTGCTCTAGATACTTCAAGAATATGTCTTTGTTTCCTCTCTGCCACTCCATTTTGTTGTGGAGTGTAATGGACAACTACTTTCATGAACTATCCCTTGTTTACTAAATAATTCATTGCATTCTCTGTTGAAAAATACAATTCCATTATCAGATCACACCCTTTTTACTTATTTCTTAAATTGAGTTTGAACCAATGAAAGAAATGATTGTAAGATCTGAAACACATCACTCTTCGATTTAAGTAGATACACCCATGTCATTCGATAATTATCATCAACAATTGTTAAGACGAACCTATAACCATTGTGAGTCATCACTTTGTATGGTCTCCAAACATCTAAGTGAATCAAATAAATAATTGAAGCACTTCTAGAAAAGCTTAAGCTGAAAGGAATTCTGTTTTGTTTTGCTAATGGACACACAAGACATTTATTACAAGCATTATCTGTATTAATTGAAGATAATGACAATTGTCTCAACACCATGGCAGAAGGATGACCCAACCTGTTGTGCCATAACAATCTACTAAAAAGTTTTCCATCTTGTGCCGTCAGTAACATCTCATTTGCTGTGTTTTCTCCATATGTTGGTTGATCTGAAAAGTAATACAATCCATCCAATTTCTTACCATGAGTTAATCTTCCTAGCTTAGAATTCATGTGACACGTATCCCCTGAGTCAATTATCTAGCTTCTTTTTTCATCATTCACAGAAAAAGCTTGAGTAATTGAGCTCATACCTGCCATAACTACATTTGCCACAGTGTTATTAGCTGCTTGTCCTTCTTCTTTCTCCAGCATATGCATAATTCTTTGGTATTGCCTTTGAGTGAAATTAGCATGAGTTCCCAAGACTCTTGATCCAGATGCATTATTATTAGAATCCTGCTCGTATCTTGCATTAGCCAAGGCTCTTGAACTAAATACATCAGAATCCTTCTCACGTCTAACTTGGTTAGCTAGAGGTTTGTCGATCTATGATCCCTGCATCTGACTAGTTCCTCCCTGATCAACTCCTAATCCATTCTTCTTCTTAAACTTCCAATCGGGTGGATATCCATTCAATTTGTAACAGTTCAGTTTAACATGTCCCTGTAACTTGCAATAATCACAAAATTGATCCCAATTCTTCTTCTTTTGTTGAAAATTACTTGTGTCTCTATGATAGGGTCCTTCTCCTTCGTATAAGTCTACTGAATCTAATGATTCTCTACTAGAATGAGTCCTTGCAGTTTTATGCTGACTTTCAGCTGCCATTATCATAGCATAAGCTTTACTCACACTTGGCATTGGATTCATCATTGAAATCTGACTTCTCGCTTGACTATATACTTCATTCAATCCCATCAGAAATGTAAATAACCTTAAGTATGTTGTGTGATCTACATATGTCCTCGGCTTATCACAGTTACATGATGGTGGAGGGACAAATGCATCAAACACATCCCATAGTAATATCAGTTTTGTAAAATAGTTAGCAACAATAGAATTACCTTGATTAATTGTGCAAATCTCTCTGTGAAGTTGATAGATCCTCGATCCATCGATTTTTTTGAATCGCTCTTTGAGATCCTTCCATACAATCGCTGCATCATCTGCATACACAATTCCACTATGTAATTCCTTGGAGAGTGTATTCATAATCCAGGCAAGTACAAAACAACTGCTCTTCCAATTCTAGTTGATAATTACTACGTTTACATGCTCCTAATACAAACCCTAACTTGATCTTAGTTTGAAGATTGATTAGCATAGATCTGCTCCATATAGAGTAATTTTCTGTTCCTGTGAGCTGCATTGTGGTAAGAACACATCCAGGAGTGTCTGAAGGATGAAGATACAAGGGTTGATTATGTTTTTTCTCAATTTCATCTAGCGTCTCTATTCTGACTGTAGTTGCACTAATTGATTCTCCTTAGTTCACCATTTCTTCTGCTTCCACCTTAAGTTTTCAATGGCAGAAATATAGAATCGTCACTTCACGCAATTGAATCAAACTCGATTCAGTGTTCTGATACCATAAAGAGAATGTAATCTAAGAATGATCTAAAGTAGAAAGAAGAAGAGAAAGATCTTATTGATCTGATCTGAAAATTGCAACCAACTGTTTACAATGAACTATTCTATATATACAATCTAAATAGTATTATTATGTACTAACTAACTGACAAACTTGTGGGCCCTACTAGCTAACTAACCTTCCTACTAATCAACTTAATTAATTAACTAATTACCAAAGGAACTATTTAACCAATTCTTACAGATGGTCGTCTGATCTTAGAGAAAGAACGGACAAAACAGAAGATTGAGACACCTGGATTCTCCAACGACTCATGGTACGGAAGGATAAGGAGAAATGAGAGGACGATACAACTAGACATGTGGCTCGAGGTCACAATTTGCTGATGATTTTCTGTGTTTACAGCATGAAAATTCTAATATAAGCTATTACTCAAACATATAAACTATAAATTAGCTAAACTAATTAATCAAATATTTAAGTAAACTGAAACTTTTTGAGATGATTTTCAAACTTTAATATGATAAATATATACAAAATTATATAGTCTGTATAAATTATTTCTTAACATTTTAGAATTTATAATATTGACAAAATTACTTTAAAATAACTTGAAAAATATATAAAATTTTATATAATTTAATTATTTTAAATCATTTGAAATTTAAGAAGCTCAATGATTAATTTGTATTGTGGAACGCTAAAATTGGGTGTCAACAACAAGCCCTGGAGAAGGTAAACCCCCAATTGTGCCAATTTTCGTTTGTTGTAGTTCTTACTTTTTTTTGGTTATCCAAAATTCTGACGTTATTTTTGCCAAAAAAATTACATGGACGTCTATTAAGACCTTAATTTTTGATCTTGATTGCTCTTACTTTCAAAAAGACCCATAATCAAAGTCAAATGAGCCCTGGAGTAGGTAAACCCCCCTATTTTATCGATTTTTGTGTGTTATCAATCTCCTTTTGGTGATCCAAAATTTCGATGTCATTTTTGTCAAAACATTACATGGACGTTAGTAAAGACTTTAGGTATGGAACAAGTTAGCCCTGACAGCTAAAATGTCCCATTTTGCAAGGTCAAACGAGCCTAAAGTAGGTAAGCCCCCCATTTTGGCGATTTTTGTGTGCTATAATCTATGAATTTTTTGGGATTCAGAATTTCAATGTCATTGTTGCCTATTTACATAGACGTTCATTAAAACCTTAGCTATGGATCCAACATGCCTTGATGACAAAAACCACCCATTTTCAAGGTTAAACGAGCCCGGAGCAGGTAAACCCCCGATTTTACATATTTTCGTGTGCTATTGTTCACCATCTTTTTTGGTAATCCAAAATTCTGATATCATTTATTTTAAAATTTTAAATGGACGTCTTTTAAGACCTTATATATGAAGCTATTTGTCCATGATTGCCAAAAAGATCTATTTTCAAGGTCAAACGAGACCAGAAGTAGGTAACCCCCTCCCCCCTGCCAGTTTCTGTGTGCTATAGTTCACTATCTTTTTTGGTGATCTGAAATTTTGTTGTAAGTTTTGCCAAAAATTTACATTGGCCTCTTACGACTCTTGTAACCGGCGTATCAACCTCTCGGAGGTCTTATACAAACACTTAGCATACCTTCATCGCATGTCATAAAACTAGCGGAACATTTGAACTTTTTCATAACAAAAGATAAGACTAAAAGTCATCTTATTTGAATTCCAATAATACAATATTGAAGTACTAAGTCTCATTATGCCATCTTAGATATGACTTCTTTAAATACTTAGGGACAACCCTTACAATACATATGAAACAATACTAATCTATTACATGAACTTAAATAAACTCTTGACATAAAGGTACTCAAATCTTTAAGGAAACACCCAAATTGGCAATAAAAATCCAAGCTCTTCATTCTAAGAAATTTCTTTAGTCATCACCGCCTACACTTGGTGTAAAAAGGTGAAGAAGAATAGTATTAGTACAAGAAAGCACAAAGTATGACAATCATGCAAAACATGCTTTAAAAGGGAGATTTGGTTAGAAACCATGCATCGTTCCTTTTTAGAAAAACTTTATGAACATTGATACAATAGGCACACATAGACCATATATATCATCATACACATGGAAATCATTCATAGTAACTCATAAAGCCATCTATCACATTTGAGGCACATATAATACATACATTGAATTACCTTCCTTTTTATCTTAACTCATTTACTCAAGAAACCCTTAAGTGATACTTAGTACAATGTATCATCTTAAGGTCGCCCAAGATGAACTTTCATGTAGGCTTCACCAATCCAACCATATATATTCATAAAATCATAAGCACATCATAAGACATAATTTTTACATAGAAGCCATTACCTAAGACAACCCCCAAGTCACACTAATGCAATGTGCAAGTAGCATCCCATAATACTACTCAAACCAAGTGTTCCTAGGAAGTCATCCTAGACGAGTCATATCACATTCATCAAGTCATAATATTTTCATTCAACATTAGACATCTGACCAACATACTTCATATCATCGTATAAGAACTCATTCATTTACCATATCTTTAGTCATAACCCATTTAGTTCATATCATAGGTAAACCACCCTCACATCCCCTTTACAAGTTCACTTGTGCAATGCACACATGCAGTCTCGTTCCCCCACATATACTAAAAAAACCCATTGAGAAGTCATAAGTGTAATTCACATGCATAATCATAATTCATTGCCTTGACATAATCAAAGTCACTTTAACATACATTCATACCAATCATACATAAACAAAAGTCTTTATTCCATAACAGAGTAATCCTATCCTTTCATAAAGACCGCTTGCACAATGCATGGGTAGGGTCCATAGTCTTACCTATACTAAGTACACTTCTCAAGGAGTTAAAACTAGAGTTAATTATTCTTATATTAATACATTTATTAACTTTAGGGATACATAGCCATAACCGACATAGATTATGTGAGCTACATGAAATCTGGTGTTCTACTCCCACACCAAAAAGAGAGGGTACTACTTGAAAAGATAGGACTTTCATACATAATAGCTATCTAGTGGATCCACTAAGCTAAGACATAATGGGGCACGTAGTTATGGAAAAATCTCTACTAGAAACCTTCACTTGCTAGACGTGGAGGTTTCCATCTCATGAGACCACATCTATGTTGGGAACCCGGACTCACTAAATGTGAAGATTCTCTTATGGGAAGCTGGATTTGCTAGACTTAAAGCAGCCACACTAATTTTTCATGTCCACTTAGTTCTAATCTCAAACTCCCTTTCTAAACATCTTTAAGCCTTTATTTAACATTAGTTCATAAAGTAGGATTTAGGGACTTACTTCCCTCATACCTAATATAAGACTTCAAAGATGACCTAGGTTAACCAGAATCTGACACGTTGGAATTGATTTTCTAAGGTCCTAATGATGTATAAAATATAGTATATAGGCAGTATCTAAAGTATTAGGTGTGTTGGAAGTCAAACGTCAAAGGGACGACTAAGTCACCTAAATGTCTAAAATGTGGTTCTATGTGTTTATGTGTATTTCATGGTTTTTAAGGTTATTAATTGTGTTAATATATAATTTATAGTCAATGATCAAAGTTTCATCAAGTTTGGAGGTCAAGCGACCAAGAACGTGCAAGGCGTTCGAAAGATATGCCTTGAGTCGACCTTGTACGTCTAGGCGAGTTTCCTTGAGTTTTACGTGTTTGTTTGGGATGAAATTCATGTGAGAGGTGTTATGTTAAACTTATATAGGGTTGTATTTGGGTTGGAAACGTCCGAGAAATTATCCCCAAGGACCATCTACGGGTCCTTGAGGAAGGACCCAAAACTGTTGGCATGGCAGTCCCAGGCAGATCCCAAACGATGGACCAGTCAACGCCCGAACGTGGCTGTGACGCCCCGTAAAAGTGTCCCGTAGTTAGGGACTTATCCAATGGTTAATATAGGAATCTTTTCTAGCTAGTTTTGCCACCAACAAAGGCCTGTGATGGCCCGTCGAGGTGGTGATGCCCCGTCAAGGGCAGGCGTCACACGACATGCCTTCCTGCGCCAGGTGTTGCTGTCTACTTAGGGGTGAATTGATAATTCACCCCACTCCTAAATTAAGTACTATATGGTTTATTAAGGGTCTTTTGGGTATTTTAATTAAGTATATAAAGGGTAATCACATGGATGATCTCATTCTTCCAAATCATAAACCAAAACTCTTAGAAAGTATCCCAAAGCCTCCATTGAAGTCAAACTTGAATAGTCAGATGGGTGAGGGGTTTTTGTGTCTAAATTCTTCATGAAAGTTAAGAATTATCATCATTGAGGTATGGATTTTTATCCTTGAAACTCGTTTCATCACGGAGCCCAATTCTCAACAAGTTTTTCAAAGTTTTATAAAGTGAATCGTCCAATTTCATGATTCTACCATGGGTTCTTGCATAAATGATTTCTAAACATTGAATTATTATGTAATTGATATTGTATTGATGATTTCAATCTAAATTACCTATGAACCCATGAATTTGGATGAACACTAGTTTTTGACTATAACGTGGGTTACCTGATATTATGTTAATATTGATTAATTTTTATGTAGTTTCTTATGGGATTTCTAA